AGAGGATTTACCCCCCTTCCTGACCAGGCCATTTTTTTTCATTACAGCACTGTGTTACTTTAACCAACAATTGCGCAGTCATGCAACGCTGCACCCAAATGAAACTTACGTCCTTATTTTCCCACAAATAGAGCTTTTTTTCGGTGTTATTTCATCGCCTGTGCATTTTTTATTTTTTGCGCTATAAAAAAAAAGACTGACAATTTTGAGAAAAAAAAAACACATTTTTTTTAACTTTTTGCTATTAAACATGTCCAGCACAAAAATAAAAAAAAACAAATTTCTTCATAAATTTAGGCCAAAATGTATTCTACTACAAGTCTTTGCTAAAAAAAAAAATCGCAAATTAATTGGTTTACATGAAAGTTATAGCGTTTACAAATGGCGGTATGTATAGCGGGATTTTTTTTTTGCTTTTTACTAGTAATGGTGGCGATCAGCGACTTATAGCGGGACTGCGGTGGGCATTCTGACACTGGGGGGAATTGACTTGGTGTCACTGACATCCCCAGTGACACCAATACAGTGATCAGTACTGATAAAAAGCACTGACACTGTACTATTGGCAGTGGGCAGGAAGGGGTTAACATGTGGGGGCGATCAAAGGGTTAACTGTGTGCTGTTTTACTGTAATCTGTGTGTGTGTGCTTCACTGTAAGCACACTGCTTTGCATGGCTCTGCTATGCAAAGCCATGCATAGCAGTGTGCAGGAGCTGACAGGGGAGAGAACTGTATTGTTTAATTACAGTTCTCTCCCCCCGTCAGTAATGCTCCTCGATCACCGTGTGCCGGCGAGTAATCACCGACTGGGACCCGGTGATTGACAGCTGAGGCCGAGAATAGCAGTGCGGGTAGGGCGTGCGCTCACTTGCCTTGCTTGCCCCCTACCCATAAATGCAAAGTCACATATATATATATATGTGATTTCACGCATCCGTGCCGCCCTATAGCCATATATCTATGTCAGGAAATCGGTTTTTAAACAGTATATTACTGTTAAAACTGTGTAAAACAAAAATCAAAATTAAATCCACAGTGATTCAATGTTTTATGACAATAATACATAAAAAACATTCAAGAAGGTAATACTTTTTAAAAGCACTCTGTGTAGCACACTTACTGTTGTTGCACAATATGAGTTAGGCACCTGCCTGGATGGCACTCATCTATGACATTAACCACCACTGTGGATGGTCATATTTGTTGCATAACAGATTTCCACCACAAGAAGAAGGGGAAGTGTCTGTTGACCCCATCAGTTCCTTATACAGACAGCAATTTGTTTGATATACATTTTTCTCTAAGATAGACTAATAACAATCTTATCTTGGCTCTTTTGATATAGTCATGAAATTTAAGAAAAAACCTCGTTTTCTGGAATTTTTTGTCCAGTTGTTGCTGCGAGTTTTATCAGAGGAAAAGCATCAGAAAGTACGTGAGTGGTCTGCAGCTGTCCTCGACTATTTGAAAAGGTAAAGGCTTGCATCTTCCTGAGTAGATCCTTACATAAGTAAAATGCTTGAAGAAAAACTGGTTTCTCCTTTGTACATTTCAAGTCAATCATTCTGGCCATGGGAGTGGGAAAAAAAAAACTGAATTCAGTCCAGCAGTCTATCTATCGATCGATCAATCGATCTATCTATCTATCTATCTATCTATCTATCTATCTATCTATCTATCTATCCATCTATCTCTCTATCCTCATGTGATCCACCCATATGAGTACATTATTAGAAATCTCTATTTTAATTTAAAAAAAAAAAATGAATATAGCATTTTGTTGCAAAACCATTTTATATGATCTAGTGTTATTAAAAATTAGCTTTTCATTTCAATCTGCAGTCACTGTAATTTTATAAAACTGTCAAAAAGTTCAATGCAAGATAATAACTTGTAGGCAATTTGTACAGCATTGCATATTGAAATGTAATTTCTTGCTTATGTGATTGCTCACTGATTCTCTCTCCAAGTTACTAGTAAAATTGAAGCTCCCACTACATTTAGGATTTCACTTTTGGAGTGATACTCCCTATGGCTGTTTCACACTGATCCATTTGTTTCCCAGCTTTTGCAGAAAAAAATCGTAAGAAATACGTGTGACCATGTATTCCTATGGAACTCTTCACACTGATCTGTTGCAGGTCTGGTGCATTTTTAAAATATTGTTAACTGCAGGTTTGGTGCAGTAAAAAAACTACATGTCTTCGTTGAAATCAATAGAAAATGTGGCAAAAGCACATAAAAAAAGCACCAGAATTGCTTTTTTGTTGCGGTTTTTGAGTCACATGTCCAGTAAAAATGCAGTGTGAAAGTAGCCTAAGGCTTGTCTACTAAATGGATAAAGGCTGTCAGGGCTCCCGAGTGTGACCAGAGGTATGTGACTGACGCAGGGAAACGCAGGCTTCAGATATGTTATAAACAATACGATTTATTAACACTAACAATACATAAACGCAGTGCAATACTAAAACATAACACAGTGCAAACAAACCAAACCAAACCACCCACAGATAACAGTACATACAATGCAAGCGTCGTCAGGCAGGCCGGGTCAATAACAAACGGGCAGGTAGGAACAGGAGGAGCAGGCAGAGAGTAGTCAGGTCACGAGCCGGGTACAGCAACTAACAGGCAGGTAGGTACAGGGGGTCAGGCAGAGAATGGTCGGGGTCACAAGCCAGGGATCAGAACAGGAGAAGTCAGCAGAGGTCAGGATCAAACAGGGTCAGCAACAAGACAGGAACAGGAATGCAGGAACAAGATACAGGGCCCAGGAAAAACACACACCAAGGCAGAGTCTGCAGGTCTGGCCATCCCTTAAATACACCAGCATAAGCAGTTTCAGGTGTTTGACTGGCTGCAAGGTTGAGTCTCTGATTGCTGGGAGCACCCGCTGGCCAGCCCTGGTACTGCAGCCCATAAGGCAGGTGAGTCCCAGCATTGCTGGCCAGTCCATTCCTGACAGTACCCCCCCCCTCAAGGAGCGGCCTCAGGACGCTCCAAACAGTCCTAGCTGGGCAAAATGTTCCACCGCCCGGGTCTGGTAACTGGCGGGATATCAAAGACTGGCACACCGGGCAGGACTCCGGGCAGCGGCACACCGGGCTGGACTCCGGGCAGCGGCACATCGGGCAGCGGAACTCCGGGCAGCGGCACATCAGGGCAGCGGCACTGGACTCCGGGCAGAGGCACATCGGGCTGGACTCCGGGCAGAGGCACATCGGGCAGGACTCCGGGCAGAGGCACATCGGGCAGGACTCCGGGCAGAGGCACATCGGGCAGGACAGAGGCACATCGGGCAGGACTCGGGCAGAGGCACATCGGGCTGGACTCCGGGCAGAGGCACATCGGGCTGGACTCCGGGCAGAGGCACATCGGGCAGGGGGCAGAGGCACATCGGGCTGGACTCCGGGCAGAGGCACATCGGGCAGGACTCCGGGCACACACATCGGGCAGGACTCCGGGCAGAGGCACATCGGGCAGGACTCCGTGCAGAGGCACATCGGGCACTCCGGGCAGAGACATCGGCTCCGGGCAGAGGCACAGAGGCACATCGGGCTGGACTCCGGGCAGAGGCACATCGGGCTGGACTCCGGGCAGAGGCACATCGGGCTGGACTCCGGGCAGAGGCACATCGGGCTGGACTCCGGGCAGAGGCACATCGGGCTGGACTCCGGGCAGAGGCACATCGGGCTGGACTCCGGGCACATCGGGCAGGCAGAGGCATCGGGCTGGACTCCGGGCAGAGGCCATCGGGCGAAGGGCAGCAGGGCACTCCGGGCCAGGCACAGGCTGGACTCCGGGCAGAGGCACATCGGGCAGGACACCGGGCCACCGGATCACCAGGCGAAGCAGCAGGCACCGGGCCACCAGGCGGAGCAGCAGGCACCGGGCCCCCAGGCGGAGGCGCCACCGGCCCCCAGGCGGAGCAGCGGGCGCCGGGCCCCCAGGCGGAGCGGGGCGGGCCCCCAGGGAGCAGCGGGCGCCCCCCAGGCGGGGCGCCGGGCGCCGGGGCCCCAGGCGGGGCGCCGGGCGCCAGATGGGCGCAGGGCCCCAGGCGGGGCGCCGGGCACCCAGGTGGGGCGCAGGGCCCCCAGGCGGGGCGCCGGGCACCCAGGCGGAGCGGGCCCCCCCAGGAGGGGCGACAGGCATCGGGCCCCCAGGCGGGGCGACAGGCATCGGGCCCCCAGGCGGAGCGACAGGCATCGGGCCCCCAGGCGGAGCGACAGGCATCGGGCCCCCAGGCGGAGCGACAGGTCTCAGGCCCCCAGGCGGAGCGGCAGGTCTCAGGCCCCCAGGCGGAGCGACAGGTCTCAGGCCCCCAGGCGGAGCGGCGGGGCGCCGGACCCCCAGGCGGAGCGACAGGTCTCGGGCCCCCAGGCGGAGCGACGGGCGCCGGACTCCCAGGCGGAGCGACAGGTCTCGGGCCCCCAGGCGGAGCGGCGGGCGCCGGACCCCCAGGCGGAGCGACAGGTCTCGGGCCCCCAGGCAGAGCGGCGGGCGCCGGACCCCCAGGCAGAGCGACAGGTCTCGGGCCCCCATGGGGGAGCGGCTGGCGCTGGACCCCCAGGCGGAGCGACAGGTCTCGGGCCCCCAGGCAACGCGGCGGGCGCCGGACCCCCAGGCGGAGCGACAGGTCTCGGGCCCCCAGGCGGAGCGGCGGGCGCCGGACCCCCAGGCGGAGCGACAGGTCTCGGGCCCCCAGGCGGAGCGACGGGCGCCGGACCCCCAGGCGGAGCGACAGGTCTTGGACCCCCAGGCGGAGCGGCGGGCGCCGGACCCCAGGCGGAGCGACAGGTGTCGGGCCCCCATGGGGGAGCGGCGGGCGCCCCCCAGGGGGGGCCCCAGCGGAGCGGCGGGCACCGGACCCCCAGGCGGAGCGACAGGTCTTGGACCCCCAGGCGGAGCGGGCGGGCGCCGGACCCCCAGGCGGAGCGACAGGTGTCGGGCCCCCATGGGGGAGCGGCGGGCGCCAGGGCGCCCCCCAGGCGGAGTGACAGGTCTCGGGCCCCCAGGCGGAGCGGCGGGCACCGAGTCTCCAGGCACGACAGTGGGCTCCGAGTCAACTGGCATGACCGCTGGCACTGGGTCAGACATTGGATCGTCTGGCTGGACAGCGGGCATCGGGTCACCAGGCATCAGGTCATTTGGCTCGACAGCGGGCACCGCGTCATCTGGCAAGGCAGTGGGCTCCGAGTCAACTGGCATGACCGCGGGCACTGGGTCAGACATTGGATCGTCTGGCTGGACAGCGGGCATCGGGTCACCAGGCATCAGGTCATTTGGTTCGACAGCGGGCACCGCGTCATCTGGCAAGGCAGTGGGCTCCGAGTCAACTGGCATGACCGCGGGCACTGGGTCAGACATTGGATCATCTGGCTGGACAGCGGGCATCGGGTCACCAGGCATCAGGTCATTTGGCTCGACAGCGGGCACCGCGTCATCTGGCAAGGCAGTGGGCTCCGAGTCAACTGGCATGACCGCGGGCACTGGGTCAGACATTGGATCGTCTGGCTGGACAGCGGGCATCGGGTCACCAGGCATCAGGTCATTTGGCTCGACAGCGGGCACCGCGTCATCTGGCAAGGCAGTGGGCACCGCGTCATCTGGCAAGGCACTGGGCACCAAGTCACCAGGCACGACAGTGGGCTCTGAGTCAATTGGCACGACAGCGGGCACCGGGTCATCAGGTACCGGATTGTCTGGCTCGACAGCGGGCATCGAGTCAACTGGCCTAATAGGATCATCAGGCTGGATCAGTTCATCAGGCTGGGTAGAAACATCATGCTGGGTAGAGGCATCAGGCTGAGTAGAGGCATCAGGCTGGGTACAGGCATCAGGCTGAGTAGAGGCATCAGGCTGAACCACGGAAGGCAGGTTCTCAGACGGCAGGCTCACTGGTTTGGATACGGGCAGGATGGTATTGGTTGGAAAGAATTTTCGCTTCTTTCTGGTTTTAACTACTGGAGCACTGCAAGTAAACGCAGGTCTGCAAACAAATGGAGCAGCTGGAGACAGAGAAGAGCTGGAGGATGGAACAGAGGAGGGAGCAGTTGCTACAGAGGGCTTTTTTACAGGGTTAAAGGCAGGATAGGTGCAGCGAGTGGGAACAGAGTACTGACATGCGGTAGATAGCAGTGCAGGAGGAGCTGTTGGGAATGCAGGAATAGAGCTTTGAGGAAATAGATTAGAAGCAGGACTGGGTTTTTGCAAGCTGACTGAGGCTGGGTGCAACAAGTCTGACCATGTCTGCAGTATGGGTTGAACAAAGCTGAGCTTACACAAAGCCTGTCTGGTCAATGACTGCACTGCGTTTATACAATCCCTTAATACCTGTGGTGAACATGCAGAATAATGCTCCAGAAAGTAATCCACATCATCCTCTAATAACCATACCAGGGACTCTACCTGGTCGGCACTAAATGGCGGCAAAAATTCATCCCTGCATTCGGGGGTACCAGATGAAACCAACTCCGCACAAACCTGAATCAAAGGTTGCACCTCAGAGAACTCTGTGCCTTGATCTACTAGAACATGAGCGATCCGTATACATTCTAGCAGTTCATCCCTGGGATACTCCTTCAGAGTCTGATAAGCATATTCTCTGTCATCAAACACTAGCAGATATAAATACACAACCTCATCAAGATCCATCCTTCCCATCAACAAACCAAGATGGCTTCCCTGTGCAGCCACTTCTGGTCAGGATTGGCCTTGGTGTAATGTCAGGGCTCCCGAGTGTGACCAGAGGTATGTGACTGACGCAGGGAAACGCAGGCTTCAGATATGTTATAAACAATACGATTTATTAACACTAACAATACATAAACGCAGTGCAATACTAAAACATAACACAGTGCAAACAAACCAAACCACCCACAGATAACAGTACATACAATGCAAGCGTCGTCAGGCAGGCCGGGTCAATAACAATCGGGCAGGTAGGAACAGGAGGAGCAGGCAGAGAGTAGTCAGGTCACGAGCCGGGTACAGCAACTAACAGGCAGGTAGGTACAGGGGGTCAGGCAGAGAATGGTCGGGGTCACAAGCCAGGGATCAGAACAGGAGAAGTCAGCAGAGGTCAGGATCAAACAGGGTCAGCAACAAGACAGGAACAGGAATGCAGGAACAAGATACAGGGCCCAGGAAAAACACACACCAAGGCAGAGTCTGCAGGTCTGGCCATCCCTTAAATACACCAGCATAAGCAGTTTCAGGTGTTTGACTGGCTGCAAGGTTGAGTCTCTGATTGCTGGGAGCACCCGCTGGCCAGCCCTGGTACTGCAGCCCATAAGGCAGGTGAGTCCCACCATTGCTGGCCAGTCCATTCCTGACACAGGCACTGCAGTGTTTACCTTCTGAACACTAAGATTTGCTCAGGTCGTTATAATGAAACCAGACCCTCCATTCAATAATAAGCATGAGAAGGACACAATGAAGCAAACAGCAATTTAAGAATGACGAAACGCGTGGGAAAAGAGCAAGAGCGTGTGATTTCAGCACGTAGCAGAACATGGCAGCCATTTTCTTAATCTTTCTTAATTTACTACATTATGAGGATTCAAAAAACAAAAAAAAATCCTCATAGTGTAGTAAAGTAAGAAAGATTAAGAAAATGGCTGCCACGTTCTGGTGCGTGCTGAAATCACACGCTCTTGCTCTTTTCCCACGCGTTTCGTCATTGGTGACATCGTCATTTTATGGGTTTGAAACTTATCATCCATCTTTTTGGTGACATGCTGTTTTATCAATTACTTTGTACGTTTTATATTATGCTTTGGGGCAACAAATCTTTCTTAATTTACTACACTATGAGGATTTTTTTGTTTTTTGAAGGGGTTTGTCCCCTATGAGGATAAATCGTTTCTACAGGTTTATTTTCTCTGTTCAATTTTTGGAGTTAAAGTTTGGAGCTCTACTAGTGTCCGGATCACAGCCAGTTTTTGGAATTATCCAACGGGATTTTTATCCATCTACCATTGGGGGCCAGTATTATCCTTTGATGTCATAAAGTGTTCAGGTCCATGTCATGCTTTTGGATTTTGTATTATGCATTTTGTCCCAACCTTAATCGAGGGTCAATTTCATCTAGTAAGAGGCAGAATTTTTGGGTGTTGGTGATGGTGGATTTTCTTCATCTTTTGACCAGATTTGAAGCATTCATGACAACATTGATGTCTCATTAAAGGAGCTTATTCTACGTTATATCTCCTTTGCATGTGTATTGGACTTTTCATTTACTCCATGTATTTGTACTATTTTTCGGTTATATGTAGCGCCGTACTTTTATGTTTTACTATTTGATATATTGTTGCCTGCAATATTAAGGTGGCTGCTTATGTTCTATTGATTTTTTATGTTAGGGAGTCACATATATACTATAGCGCAGAGTTTTTAAGTTATACTTTTTTTCCTAAATGCTCTCTTGACTCATCGCTGTGTCCATCTTCAGCAGCGCTGGCCTATATTTCTGGTCTCACAGGACAGATTGAGAGCAGCCAGGGCCATTGGCTCCTACTGTTTTCAATCAACTCTAGTGAGGAGGGGGCAGGAGCAGGGCTTAGCCATGCTGTGTATGTCTATGGATGCACACAGTCCAGCTCAGGAGTGCACCAGTACATGTGGCCCTTTAGCAAGCACCTTGCTATGGTGGAACACCCAGAAGAGGTGGAGTGGAGAGTGTCATTGGGAGACCCCAGAAGAGGAGGTAAGGGGCTGCTCTGTGTAACATCCTTGCACAGAGCAGGTAAGTATTAACCTCTTTTTTTATTTTAGGGGAAAAAAATCACTTAGAGTTAAACCTAACTCTATCTAATAGTTTTTAGGTTTTACAGCAACAGAGCTTTTGGGGGAAAAAAAGGTTTGAACCATATGAAGAAAAGCTGACCATTTTATATACCCCCAGCAGTGCTCCATGGTTTGTCCCAACTTCTGCAACTGGCACTTTTGCTAGATAGCTTGGTCTGCTTGTGAAAACAGGGAAAACCTTTAATAAAAGAAATTAAAAGAAAAGGAATTTATATCCAGAAAATGCCTTATTAAAGCCACCTCTCTCCTGGCAGCTTGACAATATATTGAACAGTCTTTGGCACTCCTGCCTTCTGCTTGCTCTTTAAAAGCAATAATCTTTGCGGACAGCAGAAAAAAAACAGAGCACATTTCACACATATTTTTTTTGAGAATGCACTCTCATTCTTGTCCTAGTAAATCTTTCTGGTTAGTGATATTTCAGAGGTCCCTACAATATATTGTCATATAGTATGTTTTTCTTCTAAGATAATGGCTTCAGATTCTGTTTCTTACTTAGACAGATGGATAGGTCCATTGAACACTTTCACAACTCTATCATATATAAGCCTTTTGAGTGTGGTTTAATCTTTGCAATAAAAAAAAAACTTCAACAAATGCTCAAATACCAAAGTGCATTTTCTGTTTCCAATATATCAAAACAAATAATGAAAACCTGATAATAAACTGAGTTTTATTCCTCAAACAAACCATGTTTCTATGTAAGTTTTCCTCTGGACAGATGAGGTTTTTTTTATGTGCAGGTAGGGAAAAAGACAATACTAACTTATTTTTTAAGCTAATTGGTAATCAGGACTAGTTAGTAGGAGAGGAAATGAGAAAGGGTCATCTATACACACATTATATTGGTTTTTAGTTTCTTTCAAACATGTTTTACAATACTATTACAATTTAGCTCCTAAAAAAAAAAACTGAAGCACTCGGGAGGAGCTCACTGTACTAACTGTATAATGCTATCAGCAATCTGAGCTATTGTGTTCTGACAGAAGTAGTGCTCCCCCCCCCCACCAGAACACATTGGTAAGCACTCGCAGCCATTGGCTGCCGACACTGATTGGATGCTGTTCGGTCGCTGGTTTTCCAGCATGTCCGTTCGACAGAAGTCGGCAAGGCTGGTGTACATGCAGGCCAAATGTCGGTTTGTTTCTGTTTATATTTGGTCCATGTGTACAGGGCTTAACAGGCCTTTTCATCATGTGGTAAGGAGAGATAGAGCAATGAAAGGTGGCTGGAGTTCTACCTGCTGGCTAGATAAAGGCCACATAATATTTATAAACACTATTTTATATTTACCTGAGTGTGAAAGACAATTAATTTTACTTTTTAAATTACACTTACGAGTAAGTTTTATAGGCTGTGGGTTTGATTTACTGGAGTCAAATATGCATTGTAAGAGAATTTTCACTTAGCTTTGTGAATGAGGTGAAGCTCTGATGACTTCTATCATCCAATCGCATGCAATCAAAAATACTGTTTTTTTTTTAATTCTCCTTTCACGTGATCTCATTCATTCACTTAGCTAAGGGAAAATTCTCTTGCAAAGGAAATCACCTATTTGCCTTTGGTAAATCAACCCCTACAAGTCTAGAGGGATGCAAATGGTAGTATCCAGGAGCACTATAGCCAAAGGAATCCAAATATCCAAGATAGTAATGTTAGTTTTATAGTAATTTATAGTAATTATCTATCTATCCGTTCAGTCGTATCCGACTCTTGGAGATTGCATGGACCATCACTTGTAAGCGACTTTTTCCATGAATTCCCTTAGCAATTATTTTACAGGGTAGGTTGCCAGGTCTTTCCCCAACCCCTACCATGCAGGAAATCCCACGTGGCCAGGGATGAAACTAGGACAATTTAGACAGGAGCCAATTAACCTACCAGCATGTCTTTGGAGTGTGGGAGGAAAACCGGAGTACCCGGAGGAAACCCACGCAAACACAGGGAGAAGAACATGCAGACTCCATGCAGGAGGCGCCATAGTTGGGAATTGAACCCATGACCCAATTACTGCAAGGCAGAAGTGCTGACCATTAAGCCACTGTGCCGCCCATAGTCATTATAGCTTATTGTAATATCTCCTGGAGGTTTTTCGGATCTGGGTTTTTGTCATACAGTTTTATGGATACAGTCTGTTGTTAAACCTTGCATTAGTATAGTATGTCAGTGTGTGAAGAGTACACTATTTCCTTAGCATAGTACTCTAGCTCAATTATGTCTTGAGTAACTTCTTTTAAAAGTATGCTTTGTATTGTTAGATGACCATTATGGAATGTGCTAAACTGTGATTTTAGTGTTGCCTTGTCAGTGTTGACTTAATTGTGTTA